GGAACAATATTGGTCTAGGTGTGGTAAATGAATGCAATATGACTCCATTAACCTCTTTCAACACTAGCCAAGTCACTTCTACTCAAACACAGAAACATTAGAGTGGACTGACCTCTTGCAAGCAGCAGGGACACCAGCAGGAGACACAGCGGAAAGGCCTGATGAGACGGATAACCTCCCTGTCCATGTTGTCCTTTATTTTCATGTCGAAGCTGCGCAGAGAGCCGCAACAGTTCCTGGTGCAGCAGTCATTCTTCTCTTTGGCCTTGTAGATCTTTTGACCCAGACTGTTTTTGATTTCATACTGGTTGTTTGTCTCAAAACCGATGAATGCTGGGCGTGGTTGGGAGAAGAGAAGGGAAAACGGTGAGCAATGAAGTAAAGATAAGTAAGGAATTTCAAGGGCAGATATAATTTTTCTTCCATTCGTTTTCATCTTGAGAGGCTTTAAGCCTCACACACTGCTGCTTATGAGCTGCTGAAGGATTAAATATTCTGTGTTCAACAAGATGCGCGCCTCACCTTCCAGGAGTTCGACTTTCTGATGGATCAGGATCTGGTCAATCTAAAACCGAAGGAGAGAAAGCAAACTGAAAAAGGCAACTCTGTGGCACATCCTGCAATCTGAAAGTCTCTTCCTTCTAAAAACAATTAAAAGGACGCATGACCTCACATATTGTTTTAAAAAGGAAACTGACTTTAGTGTCACAAATCCTAGTTGAGATTAATGATCACCAAAAAGTGCAGCAAACTGCAAGTATTTCAATGGTGAGCCAACAGAACTATAAAACACTACAGTCTTAAACATGTGACCTTTTCTCTTACTGCTTGGCATGCAACAGATCCAGGAACTGTGTCGGGTTACGCACATGGCCAGCAATTTTTCAAGTTCATACAAATTCCAAGTAAAATGGAAGGATTAACTGAGTCATCAGTCATTGTTAGAAAGTTTACTTAAGAGTTCGTGACAAAAAAAAATTTGTGACATTTAAGAAGACCCTGGAACCAATCGTAGCTCTCAAAATCACCTGACTGCACTGACTTTTCTTTTTTTTAATCTGCCTGTCAGCTTGGATATTGTAATACTAAACATACAATGTAATGCCTGATATAACACTAATAGGAACGAATAACTAGATAGATAAAAGAAAGACGTGAACAAGTGGAGCCTACAGTGAATTTTCAGAGCTCATCTTGGAAAAGCAAAATATGTTTGGCACAAAAGTGCATTCAGATCATAATTGTGACTCCAAAAGCTGCTGAACAGGACAGCATATAAAACAAAACAACAAAAAACTGCACTGGTTTAACCTTTCTCTGCCCTACCTGTGTGAGGTACTCAAGTCCAGGTGGGACACCAACGGGGACTGCTGGACCTCCAGGAGCTGGTGAAATCCCCCCTGGTGGGCCACCGTATTCAGGGCCTGGAGCTGGCCCTGTGGGTGCTGGCTGGTACATGACCGCAGGCTGTCCTGAATAGCCCATGTTGAAGCCCGGTGCAGGGGCTTGACTGGGATCTCCATATCCAGGAGGAACTGGATACGGTGCTCCGCCGGGTTGAGACATGGGATAGGGTGGCTGGTTTGGAGCGCCTGGGTAAACTGGAAGGGGGGAAAAAAATAGACACAATCAAAACCTGTTCAGATATACCGACAGTCTGATTTGACTGAATTTGAATTCATGAGCTCAGTTGTTGCTGTACAAACTATGACAGTCAAACTTTAGAAAGTAGAGCTCAATTTTACCAATATTTAGCACAAATAAGAAATACAAGGGGGAAATGTAAGAGATCACAAAAAACTAAAACAATCCATCAACTCTGAGTATGAATGATAATATAAATATACACACATAAAAATGATATAAGAGTCAAAAGCCTGAAGCTGCTGTTTAGGATTATAGACCAGCTGCGTTGACCACGGCTGGTCGTCTCCAGGTTCTTACCTTCCAGTCAGAGCAGAGACAGAAGCTGAGAGCAGTGATCGCCGAGTGTCTCGCTAGAAGCAACTACTCTGCTGAGTGTGAGTGCGTGTGTGCGCACGCTGTGAATCATCCGCCCTTTTTTTTCCCTTTTTTTTTTTTAGTAGACCGGGCAGAGCTAATTGGCCGGTGATTGCAACACAACAGTAATGACCTACCTATACTGGAAAAACTGGATCCATGATATGTTGGAAACCAATTGTCAGTGTTTCCATGGTGGAAAAACTGAATATGTGATGTGAAAACTAAGATTTGGGGATCTTTTGGACAGGAACTGAAGATTCTTACATTAAGTGAGGATTTCAGATAGGAAGAACGGACGCCGTCAGCACAGGGATATGTAACTTTGTCTCTCACAGTGCTTGCATCTTATTTAAAGCAGCTGTTGCGTTAAATCAACAGAACCATAAGTGCACACTAGTCTCAAGAGACTAGCAGCCAGCCTACTCTGTGGCTGCACTGGAGAACGCCACGAGGGGCCATAAGACCCTACACAGGGCCAGTTGCACCTCTGTTGTGTGCTATGGGACTCACTTTCACAAGATTCATAACAATGACTAACTGGGGATTGCTTACTTTTATGAATGTGTAAAACGCTGTTATCAGATAAACTGCAAGGTCCACTGGAACACAGCTGTCCTTATGATCATATGTTATGCCAATAACGTCTAAACTGAGTCGAATGGTTTTGTAATGTCCTTGTTTAAAATGCAAAAATGTGATCATTCTCACTTCATAACGACAACAACGTTGGTCAAAATTATACAGCATTGACCGATCAGTCTTTGGTGTGTAAAAAGACACATTTCCCCTCACTACTACAGTCGTGCACACACGCACGCATATCTCGTTGCATAGTACAGACCTCGTTTAGAACACAGCATTTAAGCCCCACTGTAAAATGTGAAATGTTAGAGATAATAAAATTCGGCATTGATTTTCCATTAACCACCTTCCCTTATCCTGCTTCCAAGAATAAAGGTTAAAAAAAAATGTTAATAGTTTCACTATCATAGGACTGCTGCTATGATTTTAACAGACAAGATTAAAAAAA